CCCCCCCCCCCCCCCCCCGCCTTCCCCAAGATCAGGCTGCCTCCACTGGGTTTGATCAGCTCGGTTGTGCACCCCGCGAGTGTCCCCACGGCCGGCCACTATTTCCACCTGTGGAATTCCTTCCCCTCTCAGGGTACGGGAAGCAGAAGCAGCAGGTCTCCTGCAGGGGTGGCGTCGCTGGGCAGAGAGGGCTTGGTATTTGCTATCCAGCCCTAGCCTCATCGCTGTCCCTCTTTTCTCTAAGTCTCTCAAATACTCTTAACTTGGATACTGCCTGTAACGCCTTAGTCTTTGTTCGGGAGCTGATCATGGCTGTAAAGAGGAAATCATCCACGGAGAATCACGGACAGAGATAGGGCATGGGAAGAAAGCCTGGCCGGCAAAGACCTAGATCTTACACAGCACCAGAAATGGAGAGTGTTGGCGCTCTTTCCGCTGGCCCGCGCCCCAACAGACCCGCGGGTGCGCTGGGAAGTCGTTGTCTTCCCCGAAGTTAGCCCTGGAGGAGCAGCGGCTCCAGGGGTAGCTCTGTGCCCAGCTTCTGCTGACTCTGGCCACGCTCTACCAGACTTCCTCTCTCCCCAAGACCTGCTCCTGTTGCCTGCATCACTTTCTTCTTTCTGGTCACACAATGGTTAAACAACTTCAAACGCCTGGCGTTGTGTACGCAGCTTCAGCTTCTAAAATCGTCCTCTGAGCTCCAAGCTACTTCTGGCAGGAGCTTTTCCCATACAATGGGATATTAGCATACATTTTCGAATGTACAGCCTGAGACTTTTCGAGGTAGACGTTTACTTTCGATTTTATCGGAACCGAGTCGCCGTAGTCACCTGCTCTGAGCCCTGAAAGAAATCGCGAGAGACGGAGAGGGAAGCTTTCCGGACGGGGAATCAGTGCACGGAAATAAGACGGCCCCAAATCGAAGCCTTCGCACGGCTTTTCATCATCCGGGACATCTCTGCAGTAGCAACCGCAACAGATGATGGCTGATCAAAAAGCAAAGAGAGTTTATCTGAGGAGAAATATCAGATTCCATAAAAGAGAGAGGGGAAATAACCGGGATGGAGGGCCTGTCCCCTAGCAGGAAGAGTAAGGACTCGGAGCTTCCTTGATGGAGCGATCCGCCTGGGGGGCCAGCGGAGTCCCTCAACTCCAAGGTGTCTTCCCCAAGGCTCCTGCTATGTGTGTGTGTGGGGCGGGGGGGAGGGTGTTGACGGACAAGCCAGAGTGCATCAGTACAGCTTAATGGCACTTCTAATTGCTCCCTGGACAATTTGGGCTGGCCAGGACCTCAAAGACTGGGCGCAGAGGGGGACTAGAGCCGCGAGAGGGACTCCCTTCCGGGCAGAGGTGGGTGGGAGAGGTGCAGGGTGCGGGCAGGACCCAGAAGCCTGTAAGGGGCAGCTGGGATCCCGCAAAGGGTCAGTGAGGAGCTCTCTCCAGGGACTGCAGCCCACACCCGGGGAGGAAGGGGTTAAGAGACCCTGACCGTGAGCAAGGCCAAAGCTACTGGGAAAGAATATCTGGGGGTTGGGGGGGAATAACCAGTTTTTTTTTTTTTTTTCCCTCCAGCCTCTGGACCTTATTGAATGTCATTGAAGAAAGTTTTGAATGCCAGATAAAGAGAGGCGAATTAAAGTGTGTGACAGCAGAGGATAAGCAAGCACAAAGAGAACTCTGTCCCACTTCGGGGCAGAATCGTGGGCTTTTGACCACGTCTCTCCGCTATGATTGAATTAAGTAATAGGAAAACACTTTCTTTCAGTTTAGAGCCATTAGACAAAAACTTCAAAGCGAATAACACTTTTTAATGTGCAGCCCACAATGGATTGGGTTTTGTGCTGAAATGTTTAAATGGTTTGTTGTGCAACTCGGCGCGGGAGAGAGCCGGGCCCAAGCAGAATAGCATCCTTGAGAAGAGTGTTTTCGGGAAGCCTGGAAAGAGCACACACTTAATCCCCCATCCCTAAACTGGGCAGGTTGTGGGCTGGAAAGGGGACTCCCTGCTTTGTGGTCTTGGGCCGCTGGCTGCACCCCAGGAGTTGGGTAATGTCAGGAAAATAGTTCTGTGCCCCCCGGAGAAGGCCAGCCCCACCGGCCGGGCAAGAACAGAGGGACGCCGGCCTCAGGGAGCTGAGTGCGGCCCAGCAAAGATGCCCAGCGCCCTTCGCGGGCCGGAGGCCTGTGCCACCGCCTGGCTTCCGGTTGCTGCCCTCAGAGCCCGGCGGGAGTCTGGGGTCCCCAGCTCCCTGGGTGCAGGCGGGAGGCTGCGAGGCTTTCTCCTTCCAGGCACCTCCCTGAGCTGCTTTTAGCAGGATGGGGCGGGGATGGGAGGAGGTGGCGGGATTAGCCTGACAGCCTGGGAGAGGGGCCCTGGGGAGCCTCTTGCCGGTGGGCCCTACTCGGCCCCCTGAGCGGGTTTTCAAGTGTCCATCAGGGACAGTTCAACGTGAAATCATTTCTGCCATTGCTGGTCTTCTCTTTTACTTTCAGACTGCCTCCTTTCCTGTTGGTCTAGAGAACACACCATCTTTCCTCCGGAAATGTAGTTCTAAGATACTTGCAGCAAAAACTGCACAGATTGCCAGCTTGGGGTGGAGTAGGGTGGAGTGGGGTGGAGTGGGGCAGGCCCTTGTTACCTTATCTCATTCACGAATTTCTTCGAATGTCATTTTCCTTCTTGGGAAGGCCAACGACCCTGCTTAAAAATACCTCCCCTCTTCTCCAGCGCTCCCCACGGTGTTGCTTGCTATAAACACCTTGTCACTGTGTCCTTGAGGCATTAGATTTTCTGCTCTCTGCCCTCCCCCCCCCCCACATGTTTGCTTCACTGAGGACTGGCTGTTTGTCTATCTTGTGCATTGCTGTACTATATCCCAACTCAGAACAGTTGTTCCTGGCACATAGTAGGTGTTCACCATATATTTCCTGCATAAAAAAAGGAAAGAAAGGGGCCTGATTTGGGAGGCAGTATGGAAAAGAAGATATGCTGGTTTGTCTGCTTAGTACTCTGGGCACTTAGGAGTGTGGCCGGGGTGACTCACCTGCAGGACTGCTGACCCTCCCCCAACCACCACAGCCTCCCCAGGCCTCAAACAGGACAGGATCGCCGTGTGTTTGTTGAGTGAAAGGCGGATCTGTGGGCAAGATGGCCTTCAGAGAGGAAGGATGGTTCCCTTCCAGGCAGCTCTGTGGTCCTGCTCTGAGAAGCTGGATGAACCTTTGGTAGTTCAAGGCTAGGGTTGTCATCTAGATCCTTCTGTGATAAATCGGAGAAAAGACTGGTCAGAAAGAGAGCGATGCAGTGTATGCTGTGGAATTACCAGCAACTGCGTCTGTGCTTTCTGTGGAGGGGCGAGTCTCATTGTTACTGGAGAGGCTGCTCCCTTGACTAGGCTGGTGGTGACTCAAACCACTCCGAGAGAGAGCAGCCGAGAGCGCCAGACCTCCCAGGGAGTGATGAGTGCACCTGGGAGGCAGGAGTGGTGTCCATCGACCGCAGGGGTGAGGAGAGGTGCCTGGACCCGGGTGTGGTCGGGTAGTGGAGGCCAGGCCACGAGGGGGTCACCGCGAGAACTCTGTACCTGATCCTACGCGGAGAGCGTTAAGCAAGGGTAGTAACAGAGTCAGGTCTGAACTTGAGACCGAACTGGCAGCACCAGGAGGTCCTGTTGATGGGGACAGAGGAAAGCCAGAGTGGGATCTAATAAAGCCAGCTTGCAAATGAATGTTTATCGAACTATTGGGTGAACGGAGGGAGGGAAGATACACAAGGAGAAAATTATATCAGTTCAAGTGATGGATAATGACCACCTGGGCAGGGGTGGCGGCAGGAGGGTCAGAAAGGGGAAACATTTGAGAGAAGGGAATGGATAAGATCAGTTAGGGGTGTGTATGTGTGTGTGTGTGTGTGTTGGAGGGGAAGGGCATGAGAGAGGGAGTCACACACACTGCTCAGTCTGAGGGGATGGTCTGTGGTGATGCCACAGGCAGAGACAGGGACTGTCAGAACAGGGCCCATTTTTGCTCGTGAAGCAAAACATGATGTCATATTTGGATGTGTTGCATTTTCATCTGTAACCTCAGAGCCTTCTGCTGATGTCCCATGGTGAAAATGTGAGCCTAAAGCTGAGCAGAGAGATCAGAGATGAAAAGAGAGATTTGGGACTAATGTAGACAAAAATGGTAGCTTTAGTGTTAGGATGGATGAGCTTGGGGGTGGGAAGGTAC